TGAGAATATATTGTCGAATCTGAATCACCCTCGTGACAGTGATACAAATTTATCATTAATTCTTTAATCTTTTTTTAAGACACTTGGAAGTAGGTTTTATTAGCTAACAATTATTTTTTAAATTATCTGCTCTATACACAAACTCTCTTAATTCAGTAACTATTGTCAGTGAAATCACTGTTAGCGCATATCATATGACATGCCTACCTCAGTTATTCAGCTTTAAATTGAAAGCTTTACGATTTTAAATGTTGGAAGGGAGTTGGGGTGGGGGCGGTTGATAAAGTTTTTGGCCTCAGCAATAAGTGAGTCCTGGAAAACAGCATGGTTGTAAATATACCTTGTTGATGAATGCCAACAAGTGAGAAACTGAAGTCAGGGAGGATTTCTGACCAATTGAGTCCCAAGAACTAACATCAAAATACAGTACCCCACAGTATAGCTTCACTTCTATCAGTGGCGACATTGCACACTTAATCAGTGGACTTCAATCAGTGTTTATCCATTGATTATGGATTCTTGTAAGTTCAAAGTTTGTTAAGTAACTGAAAACCTTTTTTTCAGATCCACATGAATCTTCTCAGCTAAGTGATATACGAATAAGACTGACAAGTGAATCGAAACATGGTTTACGCTCGACTGTATAGAATTTCATGTACTTGTTCGCAATCACCAGGAAGAAAGAAAATGTGATTATTAGTAGGTTTGTCAAGACATAATTCTCAATGATAATCATCAATGATTTTTAAAGGTGAAGTAAAATTCAAATATACTACTGAACACTGTGAGTAGTTGAAAACTACTCACGCGGTACACTCTGACATTCCTCAAGGCTGATTACTCTATCAACTATCCAGCTGTAGTGTCGACGGGTTTTCCTTTCGAAACCAGCCTGCAGATAAGATCAGAAGGTGTGATCTCCGACACAAAAGTGTCATGAACAGTCAACATATACTACTACTACTACTACTAAACAAATTGAGTAGTCAGAAACCACTCACGCTGACCTATCTAACTCAGTTACCAAGACTCAGTTGGTCCCAAATATTCGACTGAGTGAGCTGGATTTACTCGAGTACACCACTGATAACCTGGCTCGTCTTCAAAAAGAGTGAAACATATGTCCGGTATTTAAATCACTCTTGTGTGGCTATCAATATTTACAGATCAGCATGAGGAGTTTCTAATTACTCATATTGTTCAGTAGTACATTTTGCTATTTCGTGACAATTTTGTGTCAGAAATCACACATTGTGATCTTGACTCCAGAGTGATTTTCAACGGAAACCCGTTAACAATACATTTAGGTTGTTAAAGGACTACTCAGCTGCAAGAAATATCAACATGAATCGTATAATTTGCAAACTATTCATCCTATTAGAGTAGAGTTTAACCCAACAACCTCCGGATGTTAATCTGGTGCTCTAACAACTGAGCTGCGAGACCAAACAGCTGACCAGCGAAATTAAAATTTGGTCATTAGTCAGGTCTTGCAGCTCAACCGGTAGAGCACCAAGCCGAAAAGCTAGTGGTCACTGTTTTAAAACCTGTTGTGGTGTAAATTTTCTTTCCACCTACAGTCAGCACCCAGTATGAATATTCTTTTAACCAAATATAATGCATAAAACATTTTGCTTGACTAGAATTTTTATTCGCTAACTGGTCACTTAAGACTGAAATTGATTGCTCTCCATTGACCAATTAGTGTGTATTATTCACTCTCATAGGGTGTCATTCTCTACTCAAGCAAATTAGCGGCAAGGTCTTTGACTTCAGCAACAGATAGTGTCATTTCACATATTTTAGGAGACATCAGTTAACTCTACTTTGGAGATACATCTTGCCGATAATAGCCAACATGAAGAAGACGCATATTCACAGCCTTCTGTTGATTGCCTTAAATTATTTGATACAAATTTACATTTTATGCGTGTTATACTTTGAGCAACTGAGTTTAATTTATATTTTAGACAATAAAAAGATGATTATGGGGACCACCTTCACATAATAAGTTAGATATTGATGAAAATGAATGGAGAAATGACCTTGAACACTAAGATTTCATTGGCCACTTGAACTGGGATTTTTACAAGATTTACCAGAAAATGTGAATACGAGTTGACACAGTCTTGTTGAGTTTCTCACCACTAATATTTCTTATAAGTAGGCGATAATTCTCATCACCTGCAGTTACAAACTAATGATACTTACTAACTTGAACGTTAGTCGCAGGTGTTGTTATTTAACCTCGCGTACAAAGCGATATCTTCTACTGTCCTTCCACTTATTTGTGATGTGAATCCACATTTTGACAGACACAATAATAACCTGCTTTCTCCTATAGTGTATCATTAGAACGAAACATCAGATGTATACATTATTCTCATGAAAGCGAAAGTGCAGTAAACTGAAGAGTTGATCAACTATTACTGATGAGACAGCCATGAAGAGTAATCTTTGTGAGATCATTTAAAACAAATAAAGACGTCGAGAAATTGGCTAATTTACTCTGGTTTGGTACTACTAGATAGAGGAGTATGATTATTCAATCTTAAAATTTGTTGTGCTGGGCAAAATACAGTCAATTCAGGAAGTAATTCAGTAAACACACTAAAGTTTTAAAGAATACGACTTCCACTTCCTGAAGCTGGTGGCTCAAATCTTCCTTGAACATGTGTCTCACGATTCAAACAACCTGGTGCTGTAATCTACAAATTAATGGGCCAACAATTCCCCAAAGATTTCATACATTTAACGAGTAACAACAAGCGTGAAACCCAGGCCAGTCACACTGTCATGCAGATTTGCTCCAGCCACCTAAAATCAAGTAGAATCCACCACAATGGTGTGTTACCCAGCTTGACAACCATGTTGGCTAGACAACATAAAACTAGCTAGCCTTCAATGACTAACTGAAGTTGTTATATTTAAAAACACTGCTCATTAGGGATAGGTGACGAAATGGATATCCCCAAGTTGATATGTGGGATCTACCAGTCAGAAGTGAAGTGGGTACCAAGTGAAGATTTTGGTGTATAGTTGTGCTATATCACGAATTGATAGAAGTAAGAAAGTGTGGACTGTTGAACTCTGACTCAGTGGCTGAGTAACTGATACGTTCACCATACAACCCGAAGGCGCTGAGCTTGACGTTAGATGGGGTGGTGTGGATGGTGCATACTTTTGAGGTATCTCATACTAGGACAAAATAACTGTCGGTTGATCTCAGGTTTTCAATGGTTATCCAACTAATGTCAGTCTGTGATGAGTAGAACCTTAAACTGAATCTGTTTGTTAGCCATTCCACCATGAATTGTGTTCAGTTTAAAAATGGTCTTAAATTTGATTGACTTCGGAGGTCAGCCTAGCAACTACTGAATTAACCAATCAGGTTGTGGCATTTCGGTTAGAAAGACAGTTTTCTTCATGAGATAAAGAAACATTATTGGTTATGTCAGTAATTTTTACGATGGATTTTAAATACACTCCTAAATTTATTTACCTTGTAGTCATATAAAAGTTGAAGCAGAGAGGTTTATTTTGACCTACATAAAACTGTAAAAACAGTCTGTCAAATCAGAAAAAATTTAAGAAGCATTAACTTTTTGGGAGATTATAGTGAGTTGCTATTGGAAACTTACGTCGCTAAAGATTAGGAATACCTGACTTCATCAACTGCTTGCTAGTGAGAAATTAACAACACTAGAACTCTGACTAATGCATTTCATTTTTCGGTGGCTGAACTACATCAGTCTTGTCGACTTTCGAGTTAGACTATAAGATTAATCAACCACTGAAAGGCAGAGTTAGCTAGTGAATCTTATACACCAGGTGTTTCTGATGACCAGTAAGCTAAGTAACTGAGTGGAACTGAATATATGTGATGAGCAAATGTTGAAGGGTGTTCATTACAAGCTCAAGATGAAATTTAGTTGAACTGCTTTCTGAATCTCGTCAAGAAGTCATATATCCAACGTAAGACATGCCAGCATGAATCTATGAAGAAATACCATCTTCCCTTAGCATTCAGACATGTAATCCCTATCAATACCAAAAAAAGTTGGAAATAAATTTTACCCTTTCGTTAATTGTCTCTTATCTTAAAAACTTCCTTCTTAGTCTATTAATAACTGCACCACGTATACGATTACGATATAGATGAGACAGACAGATGTAAAAGTCAGCTTAGAACCTTCAGCAGATATTCAAGATACTACAGTTCACATCACTGTACGACAAGGAAGCTCGTGGAAGCAGAGAAAAGTGTACTTCCAGTGTAATTTACATCTGATACCAAAATTTTAGATTTAGCCAAATGGGTTTCGCTGAATTAATCTTTTCTTTTTACGACAGAAAAAAAATGGTTAGTTTTTCTGTTAGAATTTTGGGAATTGAGTGAAACAGAGGAGAAGAAGAAAGTTTGTAAAGCACTCGATCATTATTCGAATGATTTTAGTAAGCTATATCAGCACAATAATTTGAGAGATTCATGTAATAAAAGAAATTGAACACTGAAATCTGTAAGTTCAATGAATGTCACCACCGTAATCTGTTGGTCAATCCGATAACTGTATATAAGCCTCAGAAATACTTGCTAAAATGAAGTTTAAGCGGACTTTTTCAGTCTGGTCTCCAAATGCAAGTTATTTGGCGTTAATGACTAAATTAACTTGTTCTGGGAGACATGTCAAATGTAGAGAGCATTTGTAGCTCAAAGTTTGAATGTTCAGAGTACTTTTGTACTCTGAGCCAGGATTTTACTTGGCAAACGTTTCAATATCACGTTAGACAGCGTCATTAGAACTTCATTTGCTTTCAACTAAGGCCCTAACACAGAGAACAACCAAACTTTGAACAAAACACCATTTCTTTTTTTAAATATCTCTTTTGCAGATATCTGAATGTTAATCAATCATATACGAAAATCAGTTTGAATGCATGAATTCAAAGATTATATTATATAAGGTAAAGTAAACTTGGTGAACTTTATGCATACTTACAGTATAATGCCTCATTCCTGTGTCGAAACCAAACAGTGACATCCATTCGATAACCATCAGGATCATAAACTTCACCACCAACTTTAATTACTGAAGCTTCATATGATCGTGCACTTGGACTAACAGAACCTCCACGTAAATTTAATGATTTCCCTGGTGCCATTAATATGATATGATAGAATAATATGTATATTGATTAATTATTGAGATAAATTTTGTAAAATAAAAAATGTGAATCCACAAGTAAGAGTGGGAAAATATAAAAATTTTACACACTAAACGAGAAACTATCTCCTTGTTAAAATGAACTTTTCACTAAACTGGGAAACACAAATTTTTCAAGGTTACAGCTTTACACCTATTGGCTTGTTTAAGTAAATTCACCTTAAAATGCGTGGGCGTTATTTGGCCACGTATATTTATTTGCTAGTGGAAAAAGAAAGTATGAAAAAAAATTACAAATCCTGTGGGTGTTTTTTGAAAGCACATAACACATCTGATACCACCTTAAAAAATGATTATATCAAGTATAATATGTGTATTATTCAAATATATTCGTTTACTTCAATTACAAGCTGAGATTGTAATTAATTTCCGGTTCTCTCTCTCTCTCTCTCTCTCTTGCCTATAATTCCCTTTCCTCGCCTTCACGAATCATATTTTATATGTATGCGCATAAGTGGTGCTGTGTATGTGTGTACACAACGGTTCAAAGTGTTTGCAGGTGTATCAATGAATGAATGTTTATTTATTTGTTTGAAAAAGATGGATAAACACGCTGCACACTTTAAATCGATTTTCGATTTTCAGTAATGAATGATGTCAGTCAGTCTACGATGAATAACAACTTGAAATATTTCCAAATCTCCACAACTGCCCCAAAACTTCATTGAGCTGGCGCTCATTGGTGACTAGCGTTCAGAGGTAATCCCGAAGTTCCAATGAGAAGTCGTGACCGGTGGGGGTAAAGTCTGATGATTGTGAAGACAGTTACTCAATGATGACATTGGGTGGCGGTTGGGCTATATCGTGAGCTAACAGAAGTTTGAAATATGGAGCATGGGATTCTGACCCCAGTGGCTAGCTCAATGGTGACATGCTGGCCACAGAACCTGAAGGTCGGGGGTTCTATCGCTGATGGTGCGGGGCCGTGGGTGCTCACTGCTCAGGAGTCCCATACTAGTCGGACGAATCAGCTTTCCAGTGCTCCCAGGTTTCATTTGTTCCTCCAACTGATGTCAGTCTACGATGAATAACAACTTGAAATAATAGATAATTATAAAAATATGGGCGGGAAGTTTCCTTTTCCCTAATTTAGAGGTTTGTGAGGATGTCTATGTTGATTTCAGTTTGGTGTAAATGATATTAGCCGGAAAAGCAGTGGAAATCTGAGTGCATTGGATTTCTGTTTCAACCTAGTATGCGACTTCTCAAAAGTGTGTACCCATGACACCCCCTCCGGAGATCATTATGGATATTAAGACCAGTTCATTAGTACATTCGAATTGTCAGGCCAAACCTCTACATTCAGAAGGGAATGATAGGAATTACTACGTAGTCAAGTCATATTCACTGTTCGTTACTTACTTTATGACCTCATAATTATTACCCTTATATTATATTTTTTGTTTACCCTTACCGGATTTGTTTCCCTTAATCAACCTTATTCCTGTATTAATCTTAGTGACTAGCAGTAGAATCCAGGACGTGTTTCGTCCTATTTGGGACCCATCAGCCAGATGTACCTACACCCCAGCAGGTGATGTTGTTCCCACTGAGACTCGAACCCAGTACTTATCGCTTCAAACACTACAGCATTATCCTCTACATCACTGGATCACTAGGGGCATCTCCTTTGTGACGTGAAATTACAAACATCAAACCACAACCTTACTCCGATTACTATTGCTGCCATTACTATCGCTATTATTCATCTCAATGCACATCTGTTTTTCCGAATAAGGAGCCTTAAGTGACTTCTGGCTGTCTTGTTTTGAATGACGTAACCTAGTCTAGACCGATTCAGATCTCACTTCAGTATTAATAATAATAATAATAATGTTACTATTTAGAAGTAGTATTCATCATGGACTAACATCAGTTGGGGAACCAATGAAAGCCTGGAAGTACTGGACAGGTGTCTCGTCCTAATATTAAACTTCTTAGTAGTACGTACATTAGAGTAAAACAAGAAGAGACTTAAATGGTGGCAATACTGTTTACTTATATGTCTTACTTTGGATTTTGGATGGCAATGAAATGTGGTTTTAGTCGTCCTAATACATACCATTTAGATATTTAGATGTTATGACGAAGGAGGGAAGACTGGTATGCAGATATACAGACATTTATATGAATGAAAAGATTTTTAGCTTGGGATGAGGATGATGGTATGTTCAGTGTCCTCTTATCTTTGATATCAACGCTCATAAAACATTCAACATTTATACACAGACAGACAAAATCTACGCAAAGAAGTTCGTTCGTACAAGGTGACTTAATTCACATTCGTATTTAAAGTACAAGTGGATAGAGAAGGAGCTATATCAAAGTAGATGAAAGCATTTATAAGGAGAAAACATTTGAAAGTCTGCTTCACTATGTGTAATTTTCAGTCATGTAACCGAAAATCCTCAACAAATGATCTTTGTCATCACGTGGACACTAACGGCGTAGTCTATGCCCCCTACATGGCTCAGACCAACAGTCAGAGAATTCATGGGTTAATTCTACGTCTTGATCTGGTCATCTTGAACTTCAGATATAGATCGTATAATGGGGACAACAAAGAACCTGATGGATGCAGTTGTTCATTCAGCACAACACCGGTACATCTTTAGGTACCAGTTAGTGTTGTAAAGATCACTGAAAATATTACAGTCCAGACTACAGAGAAGTTTAAAGTAATAATTTCTGTCAATATATGAACGATTTCTATCAGGCGAGGTGGAGGGTGTTCATGAACGAGTACAGAGGTTACATAACCATTTAAAAAGCCATTATTTGGACAAGGAGTCAAATGGGTGAGATAAATTATCGCAACAAATACAATTAAGGTGGAACCACAATCAATAGTCGTCAACATCAAGACTAACATAAGATAAGGGTAATCAAATTTTTATTTGTGAAAGTTGAAAGGATGAAAATACTTTACTGCTAGGGAAATAACCAATTCGCTAACGTCATATCTCCAACACATTCTAACCTGAAGTCTTGTCAACTTTAGATCTCGGTAGATTGAGATAAGCGTCCAGTTTTTTTCCGTTAACTATTTCAAGGGGTTTCAGTGAGTTTTTGTGGTTGCCTTATCAATATGTATATTGCCATCATTTCATTACTTCTGTATTTCAAGACGGTATTTGTCGTGGACTGAAATCAGCCGGAGAAGTATTGGACACTTAGGACCACTGGACAGCTGTTTCATCACAGCAGAGGATTCCTAAGCAGTGCGCACCTGTGATCCCATTCCGCCACCGCTCGAACCTAGGACCCACAGGTTGCACTACCAGGATGTCACCTTTGAGTCAATGGGTTAAAACACAGTGATCCATATTCTATACGCTTGTCAGTTCAGGATATAGCGTGACTTTCAACTAATTGACACTCAGTAACTGTCTTCATCCCTGACTTGGTCGGCGTCATCAGTCACGACTTCTCACCAGACTTTCGGGAATCACCTCTCGAAGCGAGTCACCAATTAGTAGGTTTGTGAGAATTTGTTTGTTGATTTTATCATAGACCGCCATCAGCTGGAGATGCGAACTCTTGGACTCCGGCCCAGTGGCCTGATGGTAACTTGCTGGTCGTGGAACCTGAAGGTCTTGGGTTCGATCCCTGGTGGGGTGGGATCATGGTTGCTCACTGCTAAGGAGTCCTATACTGTGATGAAACAGCTGTCCAGTGCTCCCAGATGTTGAATGTTTCTAGTGGACAATGCTCTGACATTTGAAGTGATTGGTACTGACTTCAAGTCTTAACGGGAACCGCATCATACACTGGAAGGTAGGTTGATCTGGCTAACGAGTCACAAGTAGGACGAAGCGCATGTCCTGGATTCCACTGCTAGTCACCACCTATCAAGATAGGAGGTCAGTCGATTCGCTTTCAGTGGTGGTAGTAAGAAAAATAAAAATAAATAGTAGTTCTGTGAAAGTTTGTTTTTTCCATCAACCCCTTTTAAAATAGACCAAAAACGTTCAGTATATTCCATTAACCGGTTGGAAAGTGTAGGCACACATTATCTCCCTATTTCCCTCCCTCCCGATTTCATCATGACCTATATATTAAAGGTCAAGCGGAAATTTTTCTAAAATGTCAAACAATCAATAAAACCACTTTACCTTAGAAACTTAAATAACCTTCGCTATTCAAACGAAGCCATCAAGAACAATTTTTCGTATAAAAGAAGAATTTTACTAAAACAAAAATTGATTTAAAACACAACTAAACTTGTAAATGGAATCTGAACAGTATGTATTAGCGATTATTACAGAAATACGCGCAATGAAAAGTTTAATTTGTAGAGAAAATAAGTGCTTAGCACACTTTCTTGATTTCACAAACCAGGCTCTTATGATAGAGGCAAATACTAGAAGCCTATTGGGATCAAGGGATTATGCACGTACACTGATTTATACCTGCTGGAGAAATATTAAAAACCTACGAGTACTGGATAGCTGTTTCGTCACAGTTTAGGACCCCTCAGCAATGCACAAGCATTTTGTCGTGAGTGATGTCACAGAGGTCTATCAGGCATCGTTCTGAACCCATTGCCATTTATTTGTCTTTTGGATTCCTATGGGAATATAGGGCTTCACTCGCACGTCACCATTTCACTCTCATCTCTACAGTCTTTTCAACCTGACTGCACGACCTCCCATCACTTTTCATTTTTCCCTCACACCATCTCCCCCATGTCACCTTCAGACCCCCAACTCGTCCTTTCCCATTTGGGTTCCACTAGAGGGACTGGCCTGGCCTGATCTGGTGCGTGATGTGCTTAAACGGCATTCTCAGTGTATTTCCAGTCCAATCCATCTCCACTTTCTTCTGCATAGTTGTTCGGTGATAGGTTTTTGGTTGGTTCGTTCCCAGAGTTCCTTGTTGATTATTCTTTCTGGCCATCTGATCTTCAGTATCCAGTGAGCGTATGCGGCAGCTGTT